AATGATGAATCAGGACTCTCTAAAAGCTGGCGGGTCTGGAGGACGTCTCGGGCGCGGCAGTCATCCGACGGCGCTCCAGAACGCTTTGAGAGCGTTCCGATACACTCTGGAGCGATCTATCTTCATCCTAGGCCTGCCTGGAAAGGGTACCGAAGCCGGTGTTCCCCCAATCTCTCCTTAGGTGCCCTCCTGACCAGGATCTCGGTGCGAATCCGGCCGCGGCGAAGAGAGACGGGACGCGGCATCGGTAGCTTTGCCTCCTCAGTGTTTACCCCTAGACCCCCCCCCCCTTCCTCCCTCCCCCCCCCGTCCTCTCGGGTCGGGCAAAGCGGGGGGCAGCCAATGGGGGGTAGCGAATCAGCTGCATGCTGCTTTTTCCGCGCCTCCCAGCGCTGGGAAGCGGAGGAAGAAGGAGGAGGAAGAGGCGAAGGGAGGAGGACGCGGAGGAGGAGGAGGAGAAGGAGGAGGCGAAGGGAGGGGATGAGGATGAGGAGAAGGAGGGAGGGGGAGGAAGCCGAAGAGGAGGAGGAGGAGGAGGAGGAGCAGGAGGACCAGTGTAAACCCAAGGGCCATCAACGATGTTGAGATACACCCTCCCTCCAGGCTCCCTCTCCATGGGCCCCTACAACGGTTCATTTCCATTGAGAGATCTCCCTCGTTGGAAGACAACCGTATGAAGACCCGGAAGCATGCCACAACAGTGTTCTCGGGATTCCAACGCCCCGGATAAACCTGACTGTTGCGTCTTGGCGTTCCTGGATCGTGCCAAGACGCCATACTTTGGATTTCAACACCGGGAATCAACGTAACTGCTGCTTCCGAAAAATCCGGGATCCTTCCAAACACCATGTCTGGTACCTTGATCGCGGGAATCCGTGAAACCCTTCTTCATTTTAGGAACGAAGGTGCGTGGCGCGAAGGCGAGAGCCCCACTTTGAAAAGGAGCCGCCCTCAATCCGTGAAACTCTTGTAATTTGTTAGAACGAATGTGCGCGGCGCTGAGGCGAGAACCACTTGTTGAAAACGGGTGTTCCGCAATCCGTGAAGCCCTTGCAAAGTCTTAGAACGAATGTGCGCGGCGCTGAGGCGAGAGCCACATTTTGAAAACGGTTTATCCTCAATCCGTGAAGCCCTTGCAATTTCTCAGAACGCTTGTGCGCGGCGCTGAGGCGAGAGCCACATGTTGAAAACCACCCGCCCTCCATATGCGAAGCTGTTGCCAATGTTAAGCTTTAGAGTCGTAAATGGTGAGGAAAAAACAAATGAACAGAAAAAGGACAAGAAAAAAAAAAAGTCTTAGGCGAAACGCCCTGCCACGCCCTAAAAATACCATCGGAATGCGAGAGAGAAATTTATTTAGAAGGAAATGGAATTGAGGAGGGGGTGAGGCGGAGTGAGGAGGAGAGAGGAGGGGAGAGGAGGAGACGGGGAGAGCTTAACCCGCCCCCCCCCGAACGTTGCGTTGCCCCCCAAGCCCCTCCCTAAGGAAGAGGAGGAGAAGGAGAGGCGTAGGAGAGGAGGAGGAGGAGGAAGAGGAGGATAAGCAGCAGCAGCAGCAGCAGCAGGAGCAGGAGCAGGGGAAGCAGGAAGAGCTGCAGCTCCTGAACGGACCCGATGCACCCCGCTACGGGCCACGAGGAGAAGGAAGAGGAGGAGGAGGAGGAGGAGGAGGAGGAGGAGGAGGAGGAGGATGAAGAGGAAGAGGAGAAGGTGGAGGAGGAGGAGGAGGAGGAGGAGAAAGCGCGGGTGGGGAGACCAACAGGTACCAATACCGCTGCTCCCGGGACCTCTCCCGGGGTGCGCTCTGACCAGAATTTCAAGGCGGATCCAGCGGCTGCGACGGGGGCCTCCCAGGAGGCCCAGGAAGAGGAAAACGAGGGAAGGGAAAACGAGGGAAGAGGAAAACGAGGCAAACGAGGAAGAGGAGAACGAGGAAGAGGAAAACGAGGGAAGGGAAAACGAGGGACGAGGAAAACGAGGAAAACGAGGAAGAGGAAAACGAGAAAAACGAGGAAGAGGAAAACGAGGAAAACGAGGCCCCAGGCCCAGGCCTCTCTCTTTCCCGCCTCCGACGAGGAGGCGGCGCAGGAGGACCAGGAGCACCTCCCCCCCCCCAGCGTTGCCCCCGAGCGCCCGGTGACCCCCACCCCTTTCCCAGAGGCCTCCTCCTCCTCCTCCTCCTTCTCCTCCTCCTCCTCCCCCTCCCCCTCCTCCTCCTCCTCCTCCTCCCCCTCTCCCACTTTTCCCTTCTCGCTCTCCTCTCCCTCCTGGATGGGGTCGGAGTGGATGGGGTCGGAGGATCGCGCCGCATCGCCGACACATCGGCGATACATCGGCGATGCACCACCGATGCCTCGGCGATGCACCGGCGATGCCTCGTCGATGCATCGGCGATGCATCGGCGACGCCGACGTGGAGCAGATCTGGCTGCACACTGCACATGGAGCCGCATCGGCGATGCATCGGCGATGCGGCGCGATCCACCGACCCCATCTACATTGCGGGCGCGGCCGCAAGAAACCCTCGCAAGAGACCCAACCCTAAAAACCCGCGCGCGAGGTGCACCTGAAGGGAAGCCCGGAGTATCCTGAACGCAGCAGCTCCTCCCCTGGCCGCGGGAAGCCACCGCGCGGCGCGCGGAGCGAAGGAACCCAGGATACCCGGACGAGAAGCATATGGTGTCTTGATACGCGCCCCCACTGTTTTGGACGCCCGAGATGGGCACTGAAAGAATGGGTACAATGCCCAACGACACATGCTGTCCCAAACCCACAGCGGCCACTATTGGGCAGGCGGCCCTCTGTCCCAAATGGACACAGGCCGCGGCGGCGTGGACAGCGAGCCCTGGCCAAAATGAACAGGAACTGCTGTGGGGCAGTGTACCCATTCTTTCCCGTGCCCATCTCGTCCGTGCTGAACAGAACTGTGCTCCGACCCCATCCGGGAGGCCTGCATCCCCGCGTGTTCCGTGCACTGCGCCCGAGCTCCGCTGCTTCGGGCGGGCCGCGCCGCCCGCCGCGCGGTGGGTGGGGGGGGGGAATGGCCTCCGCGGGCGGCCGCCGCCGGCTTTCTCCGAGGCGGGCGCGGAGGAGAGGCTGCGAGGAGCGAGGACGAGGAGGAGGAAAAGGAGGAGGAGGAGGAGGAGGAGGAGAAAAAGGAGGAGGAGGAGGAAGAGGTGGAGGAGGAGGGGGAGGAGGAGGAGGAGGAAGAGGTGGAGGAGGAGGGGGAGGAGGTGGAGACCGAGAGGAAAACTAG